GTTTCGGCTTTTTCGTTTTGACTAGCTGCTTTGGCCGTATTCCGATTGCGGATTTGTCTGCGCAAGGTCGAAGGCTTGTCATACTAACCACCATGGCCCACTTTCTCTTGAAATGTCCAGCTGTGACTTTCACAAAAACAGGGGTTCCCGACTTGGAGTCGTCTTCTCACATCTGGACAGTAAAACCCTTGAGCTTGTCGCAATTGACCCTGCATGGTGAAAGCACCATGCCACTTGACACCTCAACGGGACATTTGCATTTGAAGTTCCCACATGGATTCCTGTCAGCGGGTGTGTGGCCCTGTGCATTCATTTGGTGGTGCTTGCTCTTTGGTGCGGCGTGTGCAGCCACGGCAAGCCAGCTTACTTGGCCCCTCACGTTGGTGGTTTTGGCCTTAGGCCTTTCCACAGGCTCTTTGGCTTTTGCCTTGCGCCGAAGGTGGGGAATGAAGCTGTTAGAGCCAGACAGATGGACACCAATTCAAAACAAACATGTTCCAAGTTCCAAGTATACAGTTCCAAGATGAAAGCTTTTGTTGCAGGCAAGGGGAAAAGACTCCGTTGGTGAAGAGGCGACATCAGTTTTGCAAAGAGTGGGCTTTGGCCTTCAAACCATGTAGGCGTGGACCGGATCGTTCGATGACTGCAGGAAAGCTGCAGGATTTCCTACAGTGGCTTTGTTTTGGCTTTGAAAGATGCAATTTTATTTATTTATATTTTTAGTATGAAGGAAGGTAAATAGTAGCCTACTGTCAGACTTTTTCGGCTTTCATTAGGTGCTGCTGACACACTTGGAAGTATCACACCACAGCAACACACACTACGCATGCTTTCACAGCACGATTCCAGCTGCCAAACTTGTTCAGTTTGTTTGGGCCTGAGGTTCTTTGAAGCCTTCATCAAGGAGCGTTCCATGTATTATGTTTGCTCCAACATTGTAAAACCTCTCACTGAGCCATTTCAGATGTCCTTTGCAGAACTCGTTGGCCCAACGAAGATCCAGTGGTTTGTGAGCCACTACTGGGGCATGCCTGTGCGGCATTTTCATGAGTCCATCAGGAGACATGCTCAGAGTTACGACAGGTGTGAGGGAGATTGGCGAGATTCGGCATATTGGATTTGCACCTTCAGCAATAGTCAGTGGCATGTGAAGGAGGAGCTTGGGCATGGACATTGGCAGGATTCATCATTTTACCTTGCTTTGAGAACTCGTTAGATATCTTGTGCTTGCAAGAGGTCCGTTTGTCCGAGGATAACATGCTGTCAGCCCACCATGCTGCCAAGCAGCAAGGCTGGACCTTTTTGCCCGGCCCTTGCGCGCAAGACTCGCAGGGGGCACCAACTGCCGGCGTTGCTGTTTTGAGCCGGTGGCCCGTCGAGAAGAAAGCTTTGCCTTCCCAAATTGATCCAGAACTGCAGTGCCACAGTGGCCGTTGGCAAGTACTGCAAATGCATAGGCCTGCCAGAAGACCTTTTGTTTTGGTCAACTTGTACTTGCATGCTTCGGATCGCTCAAGTGCCTGCCGACTAGGGCATCTGCTTTTTGAACTAACTGCACAGATGGGTGAAGATTGTTTATTCATAGGTGATTGGAACAATGTGCCTGATGAGGAACCTGCGCTTTCTCCACTGAGGGGAGGGCGGCTCCATTTGGCAGATGAAATTGCGGGGCCATTGCAGCTCCAGGCGCCCACTCGCACTGGAGGTAGGCACATTGATTACGCTTTGCATTCCATGTTGTTAGTTCCTTCAGACAGGGGTCAAGTCCCTGGAGTTGCTGACCATGACCTTGTGTTTTATTCATTTCCTCTGCTTGCAGAGGAAGCTTCCTTTAGGATTCAGCCTGCCAGAGCCTTGTTAGCCACTGAGCCTGTGTCAAACGAATTGTGGGGTCGCAATTTTGATTTGCAACATTTTCACACTTTGCTGGAACAAAGCCAAATCGAAGAAGCTTGGATCTTTCTGAGCAATGCAGCTGAGATTTGCTTACAAGCTAAGCCAGGGCGTAAGCGCAGTTCCGTGCCAGCTCCAAGTCAGGTGCCTCGGGCTCCTGTCAAGCCCGACACTTTGCAGACCACCCTTGAGCGTAGACTGCGAAGAACTTATAGGCGGGTTCTAGAGTTGCAGAAACCTTCTTGGCCTTGGCGTTTACTGAACAAAGTGCGCGAAGAGCTGCGCAGGTTTGCTAGAATTTTCCCTGAGCTCACCGAGTTCGATGTTTTGTCTCCTCGCCTTCCGGATATCCTTCTGCAATGCATTCAGCGTGAGAGTGATGCTTCGTCAGAAAGAAGGTTAGCTAGGTGGCACACCGACATGAATGAGAATGAGCAAGCCCTTATTCGTTGGGTCAAGGGCGCGGATAAGCTCATTGCCCCGTCAGGCCTTGACTCTGTTCCAGTGCATCCGCAGCTCAAAGCTGAGCATTTTGGTCGTGAATGGCAGGCCATTTGGTGCCCGCATAGCAATGTTGAGCCTGAACGGGTTCTGCCTTTTCTTTCTTGGATACGTGCTGACGAGTTTTTTTGTCCGGAGCCTGTTTTCACTGATACTAGCTTTGTGAGACTCACCAAACAAGCTTCTGGAAAAGCGGCCGGACCAGACGGTTGGAAAGCGGACCAGTGGCTTTTGTTGCCCGAAGGGTTTTATTCTGCATTCTCCGCCTTGTGGCGTAGAATTTTGGACATTGGGATTCTGCCTTCTCAATGGGCGCAGGTGCGTTGTGTCCTTATCCCTAAGGATGTCGGTTTCAGACCTATTAGCATCGCTTGCCTTGCTTGGCGCCTTGGCATTAGTTGCATTTTGCACCAGTTGCCCCCCTGGATTGACCAATGGGCGCCGCCGGAGTTAGTCGGTGGTTTGAAGGCGAGAAGTTCCACCATCGTACATGATGACCTTCATGAAGCTTTGCAGGAGAGCACTCTTTTCGGGGCAAAGATCGACGTGGCCAAATGCTTTGATCATGTGAATATCGAGCAAGCTTTCATTGTTTGGGAGAAATTTGGCGCTCCTGCCAAAGTTGTGAACATTTTGAAATGCTTTTATCGCATGCAAGTCAAAAGTTTCGAATGGCAAGGTTTTTGCAGCCGTGAACGCATTCGATGCACCCGTGGCATTTTGCAAGGATGTCCACGTAGCTGTGCTTTGCTCGCCGGATTGATGACTGTCTGGTGTCGGTATGTGCAGCAACAATCGCCCAGTGTCCAACTTTCAGTTTATATTGATGACAGGACTTTGTGGTGTAAAGAGCGGCAGCCACTGCAGCTTGCTCTTGATGCTTCGCAGAGCGTTGACCAGGTTTTGGGCCTCAGGTTGAACTGTTCTAAATGTGAACTCTTCTACAAGTGCCGAAATGCCCAATTGCAAGCTTTTCAGTCATGGAACGTTGCTTGTAACAGGAAGTGGAAGATGGCTACCCACTTCAAGTTGTTGGGGGTTCATTACTTTTCTACTAAGGCTCGCCGTAGACCAATTGAGCCTGCCGTTGTTGCAAAAGTGCAAGCGCGTCTCAGGCGCCTTCGAATGGCCACTCACAGGCGCTGGAGCAAGAGGCGGCTTGTGAGGTCACTTGTCCTGTCCTTGTTTTCGCACACAGGTGCTTGGACCACCATTCCCAAGAAACTCTTGCAAAAATGGAGATATGCTGTTGAGACAACCATGTTGGGTTATCCTCAATCTGGGAGATCCAGATATTTGATGTGGGCTTGCTTCCTGACGCCCGAGCTTGACCCAGAATTCGCCTTGGATTCCAGAGTTGTGTTTCACGAGTTGTGGAGACTTCGACGTGAAGCTGCTGCATGCCAAAGTGTGACTGACATTTCCAGGTTGCAGTTCACTGAGGTTGAGCCGTGTGAACGCAGCAGCCGCCTACTTGAAGTCCTGCAAAAGTGGGGTTGGGAGCGCTTGAGCAAAAGTCGTTTCCGTACTCCTTCAGGTGTGCTTGATTTGCTTTCCCATGGTGAGACTAGGGTCACAGCCGCTATGAAAGCCGCCTGGAAACGGCAGTTGTGGCTTAGCGAGCCGCGTGCGGCGGAAGTTGCCGACTTAAACGTGGAACCTGTCATTGCTGTGCATGTGGCTTGCATGAAGCAGGGTCAAAAGCAAGATCCCTTGTCGTTTTCCATTGCTTGTGCTGCAGGGCCAGCCAGTCGCAAGCTGGCCAAGAGATTTGACTTGAATCACGTGTCTTGTGTGTGTGGTGCAGATTGGCCTTCATGCCGGCATGTCACTTGGCATTGCCCTGATACCAACTTGCCTGAACACACTTCTGCACCTGCTAATGGTGTCGAAGAGAGGTTGTTGGTGCGTAGCATAGCTCCGCCGCCGCAGCCGCCTGATCTCTTGCCGGGTGACGCGCGCCCTCCTGTTGAAATTTGCTCCGCTTTCATTTCGCAGATGGCGCTCTTTGATGGAATGATTTTGGTCGCTACTGATGGTAGCTGCAAAACTCGCCACTCGCAGAAGCGGGCAGCTTGGGGTATCGCGACTGAAAGTCAGGTTTTTGCTTTTCCGATGAAAGGTTGCGACCAGAATATTTTTGCTGCTGAAACCTGGGCCGTGTTTCAAGCTTTGCATGCAGCACATCTCACTGGTGTGAGAGTGCGTATTCTATGTGACTCACAAGCCGTTGTCTTCGCTGCTGCGAGGGTGCGGCGTGGTGGATCTTTGCCACGTTGGGCATCTGGCATGTGGCGCGCCATTGCTTTGCTCAGTCCTGAAAGTGTAGTTTCATGGGTGCCGGCCCACGGCCGCTCCAAAGATTGGACACCGCCAGATGGCCACTCCCCTGCTGTCTGGCGGACTTACAATGACAGAATTGATGCGGCAGTTCAGGCCGTTGCGCAGCCCTGTGCCGATTCTTTGAGTGCTTGGGCTCGTCGAGTCGATGATGCTATGGCTTGGAGTGGTTTTGCTCTTGCAAGACAGAAACAAGCTCTGCTTGATTTGCGCAGGCATGTCGAGTCATCAGCTCTCAGCTGACCTTATGTGCTTGGTGATTCCTTTTATTCAATTTCTGCCTTGTCGGAAACGGGAAGATGTCATCAATGGACTGCACGCCGTGCAGCAGGGTTGGTGGCGAAGCTGTTTGCTTCGAACACTTTTGCGCTTTGGCGCCCCGAAAGTTGCCTCCAGCTACCCACTTCGGTGGGCCCAGGCTGTGGCAACATATAAATGCCACACACACACACACGGTTCTTCCGCTTCAGCGCATTTGGTGCCTCTTTGAGGTCTACCAAACAATCAGCTTGCCACGAAGTGGTCAGTTTGAAGGCTTGCTGCTTTGCACATCTACCGGCGTTTTGCAACAGGGAAAAGCAGGTGCCGATGTGGCAGTCGCGGTTGCGAAAACAGTTGCAGAGCTTGACACTCGTACTGCTGAAGCAACAGCGGAAGAAGACCGGCTCATGATTCATTCCCTCATAGAGCAGATGCCAGGTGGCTTTGACACGATGAATTCATTCGTCCGTGACACTATTTGCAATGCTTTGGAAGCCTCTCATCTTCATTATGAAAGTACACTGAAAGATTTGATGCATACTTTGGCTTCGAACAGTTCCACAGCGCCAGCCCCTTTGCCAACACTTCTCACAAGCAGTGCTGCTTATCGGCCCAACAAGGCAGATACCAGCCCCGACAGAGTGTGTTCAATTGATCCCGTTTGACAATTCAATGGCCTCGTTACCTCGTTTGTATGTCACTTGGAGTAGTTTTGAGATGCCGTCAACAATTTTGGCCAAGCACCTTTGCAAGCGCATCAAATGAAGGATGTGAGGTGCTTTAATATCAGTGCATCTTACTTGTACAGTGAATTGGGCATTCTTTCGAGCAGATCGCAGATCGTTTTTGTATTTTGCGTGTTTCAGCCCTCAGATGCAAAATTGCTAACGTGGCAGACCTTGCTTTCAGCAAGAAAGTCCGCTTTCGTGTGAGTGGGGATGATTGAGGCTGTGACCACTAATTGTGCAGGCACCAAATGCACGCAAAGATGGACATGTAAAGGGCTCAAGCCTTGATTTGTTTTTGGCATTGTTTTAGCCAAGATAAGCTAAAGACATTTCATCCAAGACCTTGAAAGCTGATTCTTAGGCAAGCGGAAAGCAGTGCATTTTGTTGAAGCAGACCATGCTTGTAACAAACACATTCAGCGCCGCCTTTCATGCAATTGATACACACACACACACATATATATAGACATACATATTGCTTTGGCCCTGGCTGGGGCAGTTGCACATTATTTGTTTAGCCCTGGTGTTTGGCGGAAGGCAAGCAGCTTCGGTTGGACGGGTGTACACGTGCGCATCTTGCAAGACACTCTTCCCAGTGGCTTTGAGGGCTTATGGTGCAGGGAATTCAGGCGTCCCACCCATTGGAGTGACGAAGGTGTTGTTTTCTTCAAAGATCTTGGGATGCCTCCCAGGCTTCTCATGACAGTGTGTTTTGTAGAATGCTAATGCCTTTAGCACTCTCCACGAGGTTTGGCCAACAGCCTTCGAGTTCGTGTCATGAAGAGGATGACGATGTCGCCCAGGCAATGACAATGTCGTGGAATCGATGACGATGTTGCAATAACGGTTCAGCACCCGACCCGTAACCACAAGGCCGTGTGATGATAATATTGTGATATATCGATGACAATGTTGTGATGATGATGGTTGTGAAGCCGATGACAATGTTGTGCATCCGGTAACAAGGTTGCGCAAGCAAATGCATGAAAGCACCAAACATTGCAAAACAGTGTGCAGAATGCTTTGTCAAAACTGGCGCAAAACTAAAACCCTGCGACATGCTCTACGAAATGCATGCGTGAGTGCGACATTGGTTTGGACATGTTTAAGATGTCATGCCTCACAGGTCAGATCTTTAAAGAGCGACACTGCCTTTCTTTGGCCGGAAGGTCTTTTGCAACCCTCCGTGGCAATGTTGATTGTTGGATTTAGCGGCTGGAACGGTTTTGGCAGATTGCTCGGAGTTGACGTGCAACATTGAACAAGAGGGTGGGCTGCGGAGGGCTTAGTTTGCAACATATTTAGAATCTTTAGAGGTGCACATTGTCCCTATATATCGATATGCTAATATAATATATATATATGTTTGCCTCTGCGATTTCGGTTGAGCATTTTGAGTCTGGTGGCTTTGTCGCTTTTGGTTCCCCTTGTTTCCTTTGCTTGAAGTGCAACCTTAGCTTTTGAACACCGTGCCGCCGCAACGAATATTTTTGTCCTTGCATTGCCACCAGAGGCAGGCCGACAGGAAACGAAGGCGGAAGCGAACGACAAAAAAGGGTCGTGCACTGCACACATTGGTAGAAAGCTGTTGGTAGAATACATGGCGTGCTGCGATGGAGAGTTTAGCGAGAATACATGGCGTGCTGCAATCGAGGGTTAACACGAGATCAAAGCTTGAGTTTGTTGCCTGGCTGGCACAGCACTTGGTGAACCTTGGTCTGCAGAATACACATGAATGCAGCTATGCGCAAGGTCGAGCAAATACGCCAAAGGCATGTTGAAAGTCAAAGGTGCTTCAAAGAGCCCTTGCAGTTGTTGCCAGCACTCCTGTAAGCCTTTCATGCGCGTCTTACAGCATATGAGCATCACAAATAGCTTTGCTAGTTTAAGAGTGCTGTAAAGGCTTGATAGATAGGTAGGACATTGGCACACTGATGCTTGTTGCCCAAGTCACCAAGAGCCGGTGCCATCTATGGTGTCAGGGCATTTTAAAAGCAATGGGAGGTGGTGCATCAGATTTGCAAGGAAAGCTAAAGGATTCAAGTGCTGAGGAGCTCAAGCGCACCTTCGAGGACGAAAATCGTTCGGTCATTGCCACCCCTGTGTTAAACTTAGAAGCCTTTTGAAAAAAGGAGCATTTTGAGTTCAACTCCCTAATAAATCACACTCGTGATTCGACACTGTTGTCAGTTTTCTTGCTGCGTGCGCGTGAACGGCATCCAGTGGTTTTGATATTTTACGGACCTTGCCAAATGACTGGAGGATCTTAGCATTGAAAATCGCCAGTGGATTGTGGCAGCAATTGAGCAGGTCGAGGTGAGGCATTCGGTCGAAACTTGATCATCACAAAGTTCTGTGATGCAAAGGTTTTTTAATCTTTGAAGAAGATGAGAGAAACCCCGTCGTCTGAGTCGTGACAGCCAGCTATTCAATGAAACGCCTGGGAGGCCGCTCGGAGTATGGATCTGTCAGCAGTGGCAGGTGCGACTTTCAATGGTTGGAGCAATTCAAGCACCAAAACGGTAAGAAGCTTCCAGGTGCATACACGGCACATGCTTCCGACGGAGACTGGGGAAGCTATACGATCCTGGATGTTGAATCGCTTTTCTTGTGCTATTACACTGCGACCATGAGATGCTCCATCCACCAATGTATTGAACAGAATGCTTGACATTTGAGAAAGGAACATGCACCTGAAGCATATATATATATATATATTTATTTTTTAGAGCCAAGGATATCAGTTCGCATTGATCCAGATGGCAATGGGAAGGCGCGCCCAAAAACTTCGAGATTTTCAGCAGCTAATGACTGCTTTTACCTTGGTCCAGAATCCAGACATGTAACGCACAGATCTATGAGTCAAACTGCGACTTCCGGGACAGTCCTGCGACCAAAACTGAGAGGCGCAAAAGATGTTGCTGGATTATGGATTTCCTAGATATCAAGGAAGCACATGACCAGTACGTGCGCTTTCCCAGTCCAGTAGCTAGTGGCTAGTAGTTTTTTACCCCTTACTACTAGCTACGTGTTAGTCTACTCAGTGGCTCCAGAGTGGTTGCCAGGAACGGGACATTCAGCATAGTCGGCGATGTGGTTACTTTCAATGCGCCACAGCGGACGATCACCACTGAAGGGGCTGCTGAGCTAAAAGCAGCTGGCCTTTGGAGCCTTATCAAACACCACTGTCATATGAGTCATATGTGGGTTGCCAAATGGAAGTGATTTGTTTGAGGCTGGTGGAACGTTCACTGAGACTAAAGAAGAAGTAGAGCGCCTTCGCTTCAGAGTCAAGGCGCGTGGTCAACGCTCAGCTGGTCATTTCAAATCCCCTCCAAATGTTCCATGCCAAAGGTACATTGGTACATTGGAAGGTGCAGATAATGTAGAGCCAACAAAAATATGCAGTTTTGTGTTTATTCTCCCTTCTTGAGTTTGGTTGCTGTCCAGGCGAACCAGCTTCTGCAGCTAAAGGGTGACACTGATGAGGTGCTTGCAACTTCGTTCCGATTGGAGCATTTTGATTGGTTCGAAGCAACAGGTTTGTGCGCCAGAGACTTGACTGCGCATTCGGAATTTCAGGTGGGCACAATCTCTGGTGGTATAGCCGGAGATCCACAGCCAGCGGTTTTGAACAAAAGTTCTTAACCTGTGAGGCTGCCTCCAGATTATTAGAATTCATGATGTGATCTATTTGCCAAATCCTCGATGGAATCCGTACATTGAAATCGGTAGGTTTACTGGAAGGTAGACTCTTTGGTTCTTGTGTTTTGGCAGCCCCTACAAATTTTGCGGATGGTGTGGCCAAGAGTTCTGATGATTTGCTAAAGGAACCGCTTGAACCTTCTCGGCGACTTGATGTATCATGGCGAATGGCATATTTGCTCAATCTGAATGTAGGGTTCTGTGACAAGGCGGAGCCCAATCTTGTTTCAATATTGTGAGGGGCTGCTGCATCCCAAACATGTCCAAAAAGCTTGAGGTGGGTGTTGCGGGCTGAGTTGCACCGACAGTTCGTTTGCAAACAACTTGCAAAACACAAAGTCGAGGCGTTTTAGGTGGCGAATTTGTTACAGAAAGATCGGCCAACCAAACTTGCTTTTTTGTTCCCCAATAGCCATGCTATGGGGTCTTGCAACACTAATAGGCGGACGGGCGCCGTCGGGTCACCGTCAGAGCTGGTGGGCGGATGGTGTCCCGGTCATGTTTTGATGGCGTCCGGGTCATGTGATGCTGGTGTCCCGGTCATGTTTTGATGGTGTCCCGATCATGTTTTGATTGTGACCCAGTCATGTTGTGATGGTGTCCCGGTCCTGTTTTGATGGTGTCCCGGTCCTGTTTTGATGGTGTCCCGGTCATGTTTTGATGGTGTCCCGGTCATGTTGTGATGGTGTCCCGGTCATGTTTTGATGGTGTCCCGGTCATGTGATGGTGTCCCGGTCATGTTGTGATGGTGTCCCGGTCATG